AGGCCCACGTGGGCCGAGTTAGTTGAGGGAAGCTTCCCAGAGGAAGGTGCGGAAGGCATGGAGGGTGAGTCGGATGGGGACAGCGGCGATGAGCAGGAGACCCGGGGGCCGAAGGTCGAGGGGACCAAGCCCATTGACAGAGAAGAGGAGCCCGAACTGGCTGAAGAAGAGAAACGACTCCTCTATAAACTCCACGTGAATATGAGCCACCCCGACAACCGGAAGTTCATCCGCGTCCTTCGGGTTGGCGGGACGAAGTCCCACCTGCTCCGATGGGTGCGGAGGAAATTCCAGTGCTCGGAGTGCGCCGAGCGGGCCCGTGTGGGGGTTCGCAGAAGGGTTGCCATGCCACGGACGTTTCGCTTTAATCACATTGTCGGAGTGGACCTCTTCTATCTCGATTTTCTGGGGGTTACCCATCCCTTCCTGAATATCGTGGACCACGGGTCCAACCTTCAGGTGGTCGTGAGAGTTGCGAATGCTCAGCCCACTACGGTGTGGTCGGAATTTCTGAGGTCCTGGGTCCGCCCGTTTGGCGCCCCCCATTTCGTCATATCGGATGGAGGCTCCGAGTTTGGTTCTAGGTTCGCGCGGGGTATGGAGCAGTGGGGTATCTGTCAGCACGTGTGCGACGCGGATTCCCCCTGGCAGAACGGCCGAGTCGAGCGTCACGGGGGTTGGGTGAAAGACCGGATCAAGGCTGAGTTAGACGCCGGCTCGTCGCTTCCAGGGGACTTCCAGGAGCTTGACGACCTTGTGTATGAGCTGGTCGCCCATAAGAACAGGTACTGGCATCGCGGGGGTTTCTCCCCGCTCCAGCTTGTCTTTGGCGAGAACCCCCGTCTCCCGCACGACATCCTGAGTGACGATCACAAGGGGCTCCCGGGTTGGCAAGATGCCCTTAGGCCTGCCTCGGAGCAGGATGCTGCGGGCTCGGAGTTCTCTCGAGCTCAGGAAGTCAGAGCCGCAGCCCGTCGCATGGCCATGGAAGTGACCGCTCGCGAGAAGATAAGCCGGGCCTCGCGCGCCAAGGTCCCGGGGACCAGGGTCTTCACTCCGGGCCAGTGGGTGTTTGTGTGGAGGCACTTTACCAAGACCTCGTCCAGGGCCGACGCGCTGGGCCGCAGGCGGGACGGGTGGACCGGCCCCGGGATCGTCGTTCTGAGCGAGGGCGGGACCGTGTGGGTCGCCGTGAGAGCGAGGCTCTGGAAGTGCAGTGTGGAGCAGCTGCGCCTCGCCAGCTCGGAGGAAGAGTGCGGCTTGCAACTGGCCCATGACCCGAAGTGGCAGCAACTGATGCAGGCCGCTCAGGCTCGCAGAGTGACTGCTGTCGACGTTGTTCGGGAGGGCCCCCCGCCCGACGAGGCCCGGGACGAGCCCGCCCAGCCTCAGACGGACCCCGGTCCGAGGATCCCAGGTGGCGGACAGGGGCCGGCGGAGGAGGCCGCGGCCGAGACGGCCCCGGCCCCGGCGGTCCTGGGGCCTCTCTTGCCAGGCGGGGCCGGCGGAAGATCCCAGGCGGACTCCCTGGATGTGGGGGCCCCCTCCCGTCTTCGGTCAATCCCCGAGGCGGAGGAGCTTCGGGCGGAGCCGCCCACGGCGCCTCCCTCGCCCGGAGCTTCCAATCCCTCCGGGGATCGGGAGGACGGAGAAGGATCGGGGGCCCCTCCTACTACCTCTCCCGCGGTTTCTTCTTCTCCTCCTCCTGCCCTTTCCTCTCCCCCTCTCTCGGCTCTTCCCTCTCCCGCGCCCTCGGTTGCCTCTCCTCCCGCACCTCCTCCCGGCCTTGAGGCCTCGCTCCCTCCGGCGAGGGTCCGCCGACTTGCGCAGCCAGAGGGCGCGCCCTGGTGCATCCGGGCCTCCGACGCTGCACGAAGAGCGGCCTCGAGCCCACCAGAGGTCAATCGGCCTCGCCTTGGTGAGGCCGCCGAGGACGGATCCCAGCGGGTCGGGGGGGACGGAGCCTCCCCCTCTCTCTCCGGTGGTGGCGTGGTCCCAGGCGGTCCCCCAGGCCTTCCCGGACCCACTTTCCTTCCTTCCTCCGACTCCTCTCCCCCGCCTGGCCTGGGCCCGAGAGAAGGCCGAGGAGCCGTCGAGCGCGGCTTCGAGCGCTCCCGATCTGTGTCCGAGCTGGCGCGTGATCCCGAGGCGGCCAGGCGTCCCAGGTCTCGCTCGCCAGTGAGGCCAGGCGTGTCGGGGGTTTCCGAGGACTTCTGGGTCTTCCCGTCGGAAGTTGGGGGTCTGGGCTCTAGGGCCGCCCGCGAGCAGCCAGAAGAGACGAGAGCCGATCAAGTCGGAGGTGTTTTCGCCACGGGTCGCGGGGGCGAGGTCTGTCTCAAGCGACTGACACCCGCCGAGAGAGTCAAGTTTGCGGTTCCGGACAAGAAAGAGTGGGACGCGATGATGGGCACCGGGGCCGTCGAGGTGGTGCCTCCCAGCCAGGCCAGGATCGTGCGTGAGCAACTCCCGGACCGAATCATCTCATCCAGGATGGTGAGGCGGTGGAAGCCCGTCGAGGGGACGTTTGCCGATCCGGACGCGAAATCCCGCTGCATGGTGCGTTCACGGGCACCGGGGCCCTGACTCCGGCGCGTTGGCCGTGTATGCGCCCACGCCTCAGACATCCTCGATAATGATGTTTCTCCAGATAGCTATTAATTTAGGCATGTTAGGAGACATCGCAGACGTGAAGAACGCGTTCTGTCAGTCCGATCCGATGAGGAGAACCCCGGGCGAGATCTACGTCTAACCGTGTGACGGCGTGGACGTGGAACCGGGTTCCCTGATCTGGCTTCTAGTGAACGTGTACGGGCTGGGCGATGCTCCCATGGCCTGGCGTAGGACGGTGGTGAACTATCTTCAGGAGCACGGCTTCGTCCGGAGCCTCCTGGAGCCATGCTGGTGGATCCGGTACGGGGGTAAGGGGGAGGTGCTCAACATGATGTTACTCGAGGTCGACGATTTTATGATAGCGAGCTCCTCCCAGGATCTCGGGCATGGTTACGATCGACTCTCGAGGCCAGGTTCAAGTTTGGTAAGTACCGGGACTGCCAGGCCGGTCTTGTGGTCTTTGCAGGTCGCCGACTTACGTTCGCACCTCGCAAGATACTGATCGACCAAGAGAAATATATCCTTGAAGAGGTGAAGGCGCTGTCGGTGGCCAAGGGCCGCATGGGTCAGAAGGATGCTCCCCTGGAACATAGTGAATTTAAGGCGCTGCGCTCCCTCGTCTATTATAAGTTCAACTGGGTTGGCCGTGAGACCAGGCCAGAAGCTGCCGGCATCGCCAGTATATTGGCGAGCCGCCTGAAGGCGCCAACCATCTACGATGTCCAGTGCGCCAACAAGCTGGTCCGACATTTGCGGGCCACAGCTTCCAGGGGGCTCACTGTGTGGAGATTAGACCCCGATCACTTCTCGTTCGTGTCGTTCTCAGATGCCGGAGGCGTAGGAGCTACGGCCAGCCTGGCCGACGACCGGGGTCTTCCAGAGGACCCGACGCAGGGAGCATGGATGGTGCTGGGGACCGACAAGGCCATCGTGTCCAACCAGTCCGTCCGGGCCTCCATCCTAGGGTGGCGGTCGAGTAAGCTGCGGCGTAAGGTCCCGTCCACGTCGGCAGGCGAGACCCAAGCCTTGTCATCGGCGGTCGCGGAGGCCGGTAGAGTTCCTCCAGGTCATGTATCGAGATATCATCTTCCGGGACGTCGACATCCCAGACTGCAGGAGAGCGTCTGGACCCTTCACCACGGTGCTGAGGTCAGACTGTCAGCTGGGCTCCCGGGAAGGACAGGTACACGTAGTAGATGCCAAATCAATCTACGACACGATGCAGAAATAAGGGAACGCCAGTGCCAGGGACCGCCGGACAGCACTAGACTTGGCTATCATCTGTGAGGCTCTCGAGAGGGCCGGTGGCAGGGTCAGATGGGTGCCTCGCGGGCGCATGCCCGTCGACTCCCTCACCAAAGACGACATCACGAAAAGCAACGCCGCCCTCTTCGATTTGATGACCCACGGGAAGCTCAGTCTCATAGATGAAAGCGGAGAGCTCAGTCGTAGGAAAGAGGCCCCAGAGCTCAAGGACCGATCCCAGGCAGCGTCGAGGCGAGAGCTGGCCAAGTCCGAGGCCCTGATCTCCTGGCAAGAGTTCCTGGCCCAGACAGGTGGTGGTGGTGTGGTTGGTTTCCCCTCTCCCTCCTCTCCCTCTCTCTCCGGCCGGCCGCTCGGACTTCTGCCTTTTCAGTAGATTTCACCAAGACCTTGATGCAGGGCATCCGGGGACAGATGCCTTGTCGAACTGTTGTGTGTGTTTCCCTGCTTGCAGGGTTTCCATCCCAGTTACAGTTTCTGGGATGCTGAACCTACTAGAAATTCCGACGAGTGTGATGGGATAGCACATTTGTCAGACTAGGTTCAGCACTTGTGTAGCACAGCAGGTGTGTATCCGCGATTTGCCTAATGCTTTGGCTCAAGGGAAAACATTGCCCAATCCTCCTGCTGCCACAGGGTGACCTTTTCAGTGCCCGCGCACAGGGCGCATTCAGGCTCTTCCCATCACCCTTCATCCCTCTCAGGATCCCCTTTCTAATCCAGTACCTGTGATGGCGTGCGCACATGTGGCGTGCCCGGTGTTTGGCGCGCTACCCGCCTCGGCCGACGAGTTGGGCCGCTGCCGGCGCTGCGCCCAGGCGCTTCCCGGCGCTGCGGCTGCCGCTGTCGCGGCGGCCGGGCCGCCGCTGCCGCCAGGGCTTCCCGCGCCAAGGGATGGCTCTGCTGCGGCAGCCCCGCCGTCCGCCCTGGGCCCAGGCCTCGTCGACGACCGCACTGGTCTGACCCAGGCTGCCGTGCACCTCAGCCTAAACGACTCCAACATCGACATCGACATCGACGAGGCTGCAGTGGCAGTGGCACCGGGCGCCGCCGTCGCAGCCGCCGCGCCGGCGGCCCCGCCGGCAGCGCCCCCGGCGGCCGCACCAACTGCTTCCGGGCCGCCCCAGGCGACGCTGGACACCCAGCTCGTGTCGGACTTGACTTCGCGGAGCAGGAGATCTTGCAGCATTTCCGATTGGTCCAGGCCGTGAACAGCGTTGAGCCGATTCAGCCGGGTGTCCCGGTCATTCTGCCGCGCTCCTGGCAGGACATGCAGGGGTTGTTGCGGAAGCTCGCCTACGATCCCGGGACCGCTGATCCGCGGCGACGGCTCGGCATGGCCATGTACGAGGGCCCAGAGCCCACGGCCTCGAGCATCGCTGCCCGCGCCCGGTCGGCGCAGTTGCTGCTGGGGCTTGCGCAGCACGCTGGTTGGTCGGCCACGGACGCGCAGAACGTCAACGAGTTCATCCTCGCGGTGACTGCCGCCGAGGCCCACTGCCTGGAGGAGCTGGGGCCGCTGCTGAGGGAGCGCCGGAAGCTCAAAGCCAGCAAGCTTCCGCTGCAGCGCGAGCTCGGCCCAGTGGCCCTCGCATTCGTCTGATCCCTCGCGGTGCTCCCCGGGGACCAGGTGTACACGCAGTGCTCCGACATCTTGGGCGCGTTTGGCGACCTCTCGGCGGTCCCTGCACAGGTCGTCCGCGAGGGCCTGGAGTTGGCCACTTTGGCTGAGAAGGGCGACGACGTGCGATTGTGGACTTCGCTGGCGGGACGGGCGGCCGTGCTGTGGGCACCAGAACAAACCAACGCCCTCACCCGCTGCCTCAAGAGGTTGCTCCGCATGCCGCCAGAGGGCCGCCTAGTGACCGCCATTTCCCTGATGCCTGGCATGTCCACGCCAGCGGGGGTGATGGACCTCTGGCGGCACCCGTTGCTAGGCGACACATTGGGCCCCTCGTCCGGGAGATCACCTTCTCTGCCACCCCGATGGACGTGATCTTGCCTGGGACTGGTGGGCCCCGCCACGTCCGCACGGGACTGGCGGTGTTCACCTTGCGGCATCAGGGGGAGCGCGCCCTGCCCAAGATGGTCAACCCAGTAGCGCCGCTTCTGACGCTGACCGAGACCCGCACGGTGATCTTCGACACCCAGGCTACGCCCCTCCCCCGACTCCTCCACTGCCTTCTCGGCCTCCAGGGGGTCATTTGCCGGGACCACAGCAGGAGTGCGCTCAGCACGAAGGGGCGGCCCCGGGTCCAGCTCGAAGCTCTGTTCCCCTCTGACTTGGCGGACTTGCAGATTCTCCTCCGGCTGCAGGCGCTCATGCTGGGCATGGGGCGACATGCGCGGGCATGAACCGTTGGGAACCATGGGACGACATGCACGCGCGCGCGTCGTCGCGCGCGCATGCCGAAGTCTTTAAAACACCGTCGTTTCCAGATGTCAGCGCCGACTGGGCCGAACACTTTTAATTCAAATCAAGGTTTTTTTTCAGCAGCCGTTTTCTAAAAGAGGTTTGCGCGCGTTCTCCTGCGGGTTTTCAAGAACACCATCGGTTTTTCAACATGTTCATCCATTTGGACCCAGCGAGCCTTTCGCGCCGCATGTCGGTATCATTCGGAAGCCGTTGCGTGCGTGTTGGCCGGACACGATCCCTATCACATGACATCGCCCGGGCCACTCGCGCGCGTCGGCCGCGCGCGCATGTCGAATTGCTTCCAAAACTTCCATCACCGACGCGAGGACACCGCCATTGTCATCGGCATGATCAGCGTCGGCGCCGTCATTGGCCTTGCCGTCGTCATCGTCATCGTCGCCACCATCATCGCTGCTATCATTATCGTGTCTACCGTTGTCGACGTCGCCATGACACCGCGCCCGCCCAATTCGCACACTTGCACTGCATCGCCCACTGGGAAATGCCCAGCGGTCAGCGCCACCGCGGCCGCGTCGGTCGCGCCAAACTATAGCCGGCCGATGTGCGCGCGAGCTTGCGCGGGCAAGCGCGGCCGCAGAGATGCACCAGCCAACGCCAAGCACTCATCGCAATCGCCGCCGCACGGGTATTGCAAGCCAAATTGTGGGTCGGTGGTGGGATGATTGCGCGAGCAGTTGAGTTGACAATTCCAGGTTTTCCAAAATGAAGTGCGCCACGAGGATTGTCCCGCATATTGCGCCCAATCGGTTGCACCACAGCATAACCGAGCGTGCTAGAAGCTACGGTTTGAGGCACGCGTTGGCTATTATTTTGTCATGAAGGCACGAGTGGTTAAATGTTTTATTGAAGGCAACCATGTTTGCATCACTGAATTTGAAAACGCATGCCCTTAAAACGTGGTGCCTTCAGTACGGCAAGGGCACCGCATAAGCCATAAGGAATCAATGCGTAAAAGGAATCCAGGGTTTTGAAGCTGGTGGAGCTCCACGCGAGGCGTTGCCATGTCACCACCGCCCTGCTCAGATAAGGAATCGTCCAGGGTCTGACGCACCGTGGGCACATTTCCCGAATGAGCGCCCCCACCGTATGCTTCGCATCGACCAGCACGAGCTCTCGCAGCAGCGGCTGCGGACGGTGCCCCGCGCCCGGTCTTTGCGGTGCCCTCCCTCTGGCGCCACGGCCCCGCGCACTGAAAGACGAATGCCAGCCAGCCGCGCACAAGGGACTGGTTCATATCAGTCGAATTCGCAAGGGCCTGCACCCCAGCTACTCGGGCCCGTCTCGCGCGAGTCGAGGCCTCGCTCGCCTTCGAGTCGTGTCGGCCGCCGCTTCGGAGGCAGCCGTGGCTGCCCAGAGGGAACGCAGCCCGCCACCTTCCTCGCCTTTGGAGGCGCCCCTCTCAGCCCCCTCGAGGGCCGAGGTGGCTGGGGGGGTCCCCTAGCTGAACACAAGGGGTGGTGGGCCTTTCTCATCTCTCCTCCCCTTTCCCGTTCCTTCGCACGCTGCGTTTCGCAAAACGTCCCAAAACGGCCACGGCCCCGCGCACCATGAGCGTTCCAGGACGGGCCCAGCCTTCGGCTGTCGGGGGGCCCAGCGGGGCCACAGGTCACCGAGCGCGTTCCATTACTCGCAAAGTGCCTACTCGCAAACGTCCGAAAGACACGTGTCTGTTTTGATGTAATTAATCGTAGATCCTCCGCGGGGGATCCAGGCCATGTGCGAGTAGTCACTTTGCGAGTTGTCGAACGCGCTCGTCTAACAGGAGTCGAAGAGGAACGACCAGGATGCCACGAACGCCTCGCCCGTTCCGCGGCCTGTCCAAGAAGAAAGTAGAGATCAGAGACCTGCCTGGGCATTCGCTTGCGAAGGCCAGTGCCTGCGTTGAACCGTCGGGGGACCTCCCCCCTGGCCTGTAAAGAGGCGGTCTGTTCCATGTATGCGGCTGATGTGTGGTCGACACGGGTTCGACACGGATTCGACGCGTTCGACATGGATCCGGCATTGGTGCGACATGGATGGTTGGCGCGATGGGACCGACGAAGTCCCCCACTAATGCAACACAACCGTTCGGATTTCTTGGATCGGCGCTGCCCCCCCCCTTTGGCGGCGGCGCCATTGGCGCGCTTCGCGCGCTTGGGAGATGGGGCCAAGACCAATCCAAGAAGTCCACGCGGACTTTCGAAAGCCGATATGTTTCTGAAGTCTGTGTCTGGAGAAGTTTCCGGAAGCACGGTGGGATCGGTTCCGTCCGCGGGAGCCAGCGGAAGCACGAGTTGCCCAATTGTTGGGGTCGGTCTTTCTGCACGGGCCGCTGCTGCCCCCACCCCCCGCTCTGGCCCAACGGGGGCCAGCGACGTCGACCTTGCCAGAGGCACCTTCTCCCGATCCTCGCGGCCTTGCTTTGGGCCCCCCCCCCTTCAGGGGGGGAAGCGTTCAGCAGCCTCTGATCCTGCTGGTCTGTCAAGCGGCCCTTCGACAAGCTGGGTCTGGGTGTCCTCAGTCGCTCTCCTGGGTGGAGCCGGGCGGGCCGATACGCAGGCTCGCACGGCACACTCGCGCGACCCGCCGCTTGTCACCTCGTCCGCGCAATGTGGGTTCGTTTCTGCTTGTGCCTCGTGAGATCCGACCTTGCGCAGTCGGCCTTCTGACCGACCCCCTCTGCGAAAGTCGTGCGACTCCCCCTGCCCCACTGGCGCCGTGGGCCACTGTGGCTCCCTCAACAACCTCAGTCCGTCTAGACACGGCACAACTCCTCAGCCTGTTCTGTTGTGTTTCCCAGACCGCTGCTTGCGTGAGTGTGCCAGTGGGTGGGACGGGGGAGAAATTCCAGTTGTTGTTGCATTCGACGACGGCGAACATTGCCTTACGTTTCCAGCCCGCTGTGATAATTGAAGGAGTTCCCTGTCGCGACACCCTTCGCCGCTCGTTTCTCACAGCTTGCACCCAGCCGTTCTTGCGCTTGATTTTGTGTTACGTCTGCGTCGCGTGGCTTCCCGGAGAGGTAATGACGACGCCCCCGTTGCTCTTCAACCACATGACCCAGTTTACTTGGGTGCGCATCTTGTTTCATTGTTTCCTATGGTCGTGTCGCTCCTCCCTGGCATTTGGATCAGTACTCTGACAGGTCCGTCGCGTCGTGGACGCATTCCGGATGAGAACTGTCCAGCTTTGCATGCGAGCGCCTTGGGATGAAAAAGTGTGGGAGTTTCCCGCCAGGAATGAACATAGCGTCTTGATGAGCATTTCTAGTTTGGTTGTACTAGTGGAGTCCTCACCAACTCAAACAAAGCGGGGCACCTTGGTGAAACTGCCGTGCACCTTCAGATGAAACACGTGGAACGATGCTCGCGACAGGACGCAGGACGCAGGTATTGATGTGAGGAAAACGCTGCGAGCTCAAGTGGCCGTGTCCTTTCTGATGCAATCCAGCAAGCTATGGTACAGCACATGGCCGTTGGCCGAGGGCACACATGCAGTATCGGGCGGTGCTCGTGCCGGTGGCGACGCTGATGTGTCCGCCGGTGCTGGGCCACGTGGCCCGTGGCCATCCTGTTCAGACGCCAACGTGGCCAGTGACCTCGGGCCCCTCTTGGATTCGATCATATTGTCTGGGTAGTCGAAGGCCAGACTGTCAGATTGGATTGGGCCCCAAGGGCCATGGCCCGGCCAAACTGGATGATTTGGGTTATTCGCCAGACTGGATTCGCGTTGGCTCCCTCGCCAGATTGCCCGCGTTTGCCAGATTGGGCCTGCCAGATTGGCGCCAGATTGGCTTCGACTACCCAGATTGTAGTGGCCTCCGGCCAGTACCGCCGATCCTGGACGCCTCCCTTGCTGCCGGAAGCGCACGGTCATGATTGGCGACGACGGCGAGCGGTGAGGATGATGATGATGATGATGAGGATTGGGAATGGAGGCGACGGAGTAGGATGATGAGGAGGAGGATCATGATGAGGTGGAGGGGGGTAACCTCGGGCCCATCTTGGATTCGATCTTACAAGCCACGAGTTGTTCCGGGCTTCTGCAAGATGGGTGGTCATGACAGCTGCATCGTCTGGGTCAGAGCAAGGGATGGCTTCGCGGGCGCATGGAGTTGGTACGTCACCGCAGGGCCGTGAATGTCGTTTTATTTGTGGTGAAGAGAAACCGATACGTGCGAGTCAGTGATAATGGTAATGACAGCCACCGCGCTTTCTAGTTGCGCCGCAAAGCATGAATCAATCGAGACAACCTAGTGCCTTGCCTCGCATGCATTGCGTTACGACCAGGTGGTAATTACTATGTTCAATCTGGTTCCACTTGAAGTGCGGGTTGTCCCCGAAAGACTGAGCTTTCCATGATAGGTATGGGGTGTGGCAGCGCGTCAGCAAGGGAGCGAGGCATAGACTGAATCAGAGGTACCAGGAATTTGATAATACATGTTTCTACTATTCTTCATCTGCCTCGCTTCGAAATCAAGGTTATGTCAGCCAGTACTGGCGCGTTCGATATGGTGCTGGCCGACCAGAGTTGGCGTAGGAGACGTCGCCGTATTCATTGTCAGCTTGTTGAACACGTTGGTGGTCACAGCTCAGTGAATCTACAGTAGTGCTCTCCCCTTCATCAGTTATCTTCTTCACTATCTCTCCTCATTTGTGCACCCAAATCCTTGTCATACGATGACTCAAATGGCTCACTCAAGTCCGCCGACCCCCACAAGGAGGGAGTATTTTGAGACGATCGTGGAAGTTATGTCTTGGGTCAGGAACCTCGTGGGTGAATCGCAGGGTCTGTTGGGATGCTTCTCTTGGGCCTCTTGGGCAATTTTGGGCGCATGCGGGAGGCTTTTGGGGGCCTCGTGGTTGCCTCGAGGGGGCTTCTTGGGGGCGTCTTGGAGACCTCTTGGGGCCTCTTGGAGCGCCTCGGGGGTCTCTGGGGGGCTCGACGGGCCATCTCGGTGGGACATGTCAATTCGTATTCCCCCTCTTGGGCTTTCTTGGGGCCCTGTTGAGGTCCTCCTGGGGCTGTCTTTGGCCGTATTGGGGGGGCCCCTGGGACTGTCCTTGGGCCCTCTTGGGCCGTCCTGGGGCCTTCTTGGAGGCATCATGGGCCGTCTGAGGACGATCTTGGGGGCCACTTGGGCCGTCGTGTTCGCTGTCGAAACGTAAAATGCGAATGTGCTAAAAGTGTTAAGTTTTCCCCAGCGATCCTGTGGTGTTGGGTCCTCGTTTTGACGAGACAGCGCCCCGCGTTCCTCCTCCTCCTCCCGCTGCCCTTTTCTCCTTCTATCATCATCGACATCACTCACTTCAGCACACCCCTCACGCGTTTCGTGGCCCCATCGGGAGCTCCACCCAAGGTCCCAATGGCGCAATCCGCATGGCGGCGCC